GTGTTTTCCTGTTCCTAAAGGTCTGCTTCCTAAGGAAAGTCCTGAATAGTATTCAATGATTTAGAAACAAGATCCTGTAGGTGATAATAACGGATCCACATCTGGGTGCTTGAGTTGGGAAGGAAAATATTAACCAAATTGTCTTTTTTTCTTTCTTTTTAATTTGAGAGATGTTTTCTATAGGGCATGTGCACTTACCAGAAAGACAGAAAGCAAGAAATCCCTCTGGGGGGGGGGTGGCCATCCCACACTCCCTTCTCCTCTTGGGATTTTGGGTACACACACATGCACCCTGCGTGAGTTTTAAGCTGCCAGGTCTGGGACTCAAACTGCTGTTGACTACATGGGAGTCCAACAACGTAAACATTATGCCATCCGCTGGTCCCCCAATTTTCTTTTTAAAAAAATGTTTTTTTCTTTTAAAAAATTTGCCAGAAGATGCATACTCTCAAGAGAGAGGGAGAGAGAGAAAGCACTTCCAGTGAGGTGTGCTCACACCACGATTCCTTCTCCATTTCTTCCTCCTGTTCGGGATTTTGTGTATGCACATACACGTGGCCTGTGTTTTTTGAGGCCCCACGCCTGAGATTCAAACTGAGTAGTTTGCTATGTGGGATCTGGCTTCCTTAGCTACCAGGCCACATGGCCGGCTCTAATTTTTTTGCCTTTGTTCATGATAGAGAGAGAGAGAGGAGAGAGAGCAAGAGAGAGAGACCTTCTACAGAGGCTCACCTTGCTGTAATCCCTTCTCCAGCCCATTGGATTTTTACTCCATTGGATCTTTACTGCATGCCTGGAGTGTTTCAGGCTGACAGGTTTGGGATTTAAACCATGGCTACCATGTGGGTCTGGGCTTCTTTTTTTTTTTTTGGAGAGGTTTTTGCTATAGGGCACGTGTGCTTGCCAGAAAGACAGAGAGAGACAGAAAGTGAGAAATCACCCCCCAGGGGGGATGGCCACGCTGCAATCCCTTCTCCTCCATTCTCTTCTTGTGATCTTAGGCATGCACACACACGCGTTCAGCGTGAGTTTAAGCCACTGGGTCTGGTGCTCAAACCACAGTCAACTACATGGGAGTTCAGTGACATAGTCATTACACTAACTGCTGGTCTGGGGGCTTCTCTTGAGCTGACATATCAGGTGCATGTGTTTGTGTGTTCGGGATCTTGATCAGATGGAGAAATGGAGGAAAAGAGATTATAGTACAACTGAGCCCCACTGGGAAGGGGTGCCTCCTCTTTCTTTCTTTTCTTTCTTTCTTTCTTTCTTTCTTTCTTTCTTTCTTTCTTTCTTTCTTTCTTTCTTTCTTTCTTTCTTTCTTTCTTTCTTTCTTTCTTCCTTCCTTCCTTCCTTCTTTCTTTCTTTCTTTCTTTCTTTCTTTCTTTCTTTCTTTCTTTCTTTCTTTCTCTATTTCTTTCTTTCTTTCTTCCTTCCTTCCTTCCTTCCTTCCTTCCTTCCTTCCTTCCTTCCTTTTCTTTCTTTTCTTTCTTTCTCTTTTGCTCTGGCATGTCCACTGTTCTCTGGTATTAAAAATAAAAATGCTTGGGCCAAGCAGGTGGTGTAGTGGTTAAGGCACTGGACTCCACATAGTTGACTATGGTTTGAGTCCCGAACTTGGCAGTTGAAACTCAGGCCAGTGCATGTGTGTGTGTGTGCCCAAGATCCTGAGAGGAGAAGAGAGAAGAGATTCCTGTGTGACCACCCTTCTAGGGGGTGATTTCTTATTTTCTCTCTCTCTCTCTCTCTCTCTGTCTCATGAGCACACAAATGCACGTGCTCTATAACAAAAATTTCTCTCTCTCAAAAAAAAAAAAAAAAAAAAGGTGGCTTAAAAACCTTTGCTTGTAATACCACTTAGGAATTACATTGACCACTCTGAGAATGAAGGTGTGAGGGTAGGAGAAAGAGCATTAAATGAATATCCTGGAGGAGGACCAGTGATGGTGAAGTGGTTGTGCAATGCTCTGTGTGGCTAATCCATGCGGGAGTATTCCAGGTTCATGTCTAGAGACCTTCCTGAATATGTGGGTGTGTTCGTGCATGGTTGTCATCTGGGGCTGGCTGCAGCTGGCTACATAGTTTTTTCACAACATATCTGAGATTATTCTTTACAATCTAAGAGGAAGTCAGAAAATTATTCATCCAAATACAAAGAATAAATGATACCTTCTCTCTTTTTCTTGAGTATTTTCTCTCCAGTTTGGATTAACTCTGGATGAAGACAACAGAAAGCTCATAAACTGTCATTACATCCTCAGCTTTGCTAAAGAATTGGAAGGAAAATGAGAGAATTAAAGCATACCTTAATCAAAGAAAGGATGTTCTTGCTAGTAACCAGAGAAATACAACTCAGATTTACCACTTTCTGTCACCTGAGGTGAGGCTGACATTTGGATAAAAATATGTAGAAAGGAGGATTTCAAACTGGCAGATCTCCTTTTTAAAGGGATAAGATAACATTTAGTATCAGCTACAAAGCCATTTATGTCCTTTGATCAAGTAATACTACTCCAGAGAATTTATCCTAAGGAAATATTTTGACAGATGTAGGACAGATGTTTCTATCTGTAATAAAAAGAAGAACTGAAAAAGAAAAATATTAACTATTCAACAATGAGAGACTAATTTAGTACATTATAGTATGTCAGTAAGAGGGACTATAATATAACTATTAAATATAATTATGTAGACAAGGCCAGAGTATTTGGAAATGCTTTTGATATGGTATTTGTAAGCACTACATAATCATGTGCAGCTATGATTGTAATGACTGATAACATCTGATAGTATACGAAAAAATTAAAAAAAATTTTTTTGGAAGTAGGTGGAATTAAGGGTACTTTCTTACACTTTTTCAGTGCTATTCCAATGTGTTTTATTGTCCATGCCAAACAGTGCATGTGTCATGCCAAGATTGTAACCTATAGAAAGTAGTTTTCTATCCTTCCAAATATTCCTGTGGAGTTATGAATGTGCTTGGTTTATGTCATTATGCTGAATGACATGAGTGACATAGCAAGATACTACTAGAACCATCATCATAAGGGCCACAAACGTTCAAAACATAGCTCATCATTATGGTCTAAGGGTATCAGGGTGGCCTACATTCTTCCTAATCCATAGTTTCTTTCTGTTGTCTACTGGGTAACTGTTTATCTCTTGTTCGTGGAAAGGTTCCTGAACCTAAGACCTCCCCTACATCTTCCCATGCTGACCCAGTAGATTGTTACCACCACATAGATCACCAGGAAAAATATCTCAGTGAATGAAATAGTTTCTCCCGCTAGAACTGATAGTCCTGTTTTTGAAGAGAATTTGATTGGTAACAAACCACCATCTGGAAAATACTTTTATTTGTACTTTCAGTTGAGGGAGTGCAGGAATACAGGCAAGGCTGAGCTGAGACATTCTGGTAGTAAATTCTTAGGTGAAGAAAACAAAAAAATTCAGCTTCCATATTTGATAAGAAACACTAACACTAAGAAACTGCTGGCGTGGTGGCTAAGGTGCTGAACTCCCACGTGGCTGATCACGGTTCCAGTCCTACACCTGGAAGCTTGCTTTTTCACTTTCCTCTTTTTCTCTGTCTGTCTCTGGTAAGTATGTGTGCCCTATAACAAATTTAAAATAAATGAATAATTTTTAAAAAGAAGAAAGAAACACTGAGTATTTACACATCTTACATGTGTATGATAAAAGAAAACACTAAATGGTCCTGGTGCTGTTTAATAGTAAGAATGGGTCCAAGTTCAGGAAAAGCCATGTCTTGAATAGAGATGAATACACCCATGGAGAACACCTGAGTTAGGAGTGAGAAATCTGGTGTCCCAGACCCAGGACCTGTACCCTGCCCCTTGGGGCTGTGAGAGACAGCAGTTCCAAACCAGAACATACATTTGAGGTGCAGTGTTTCTCAACCACATGAAATACCACTCCTAGTAGGCACTGAGAGTATGGGGGAGAGTTTTGTGTTGTCAGGATGACTGGGAGACGTTACTCCATTCAGTGATATTTAGGAATACTAAATCTGTACGATGTGGGAGATTGTCCTGAACAATGGACAATTATCCTTTATAAAATTCCAATAGAGCCCTGTGGGAAAATAACATGTAGAAAATCAAACCTGGGAATAAATTGAAATTATCAAGAAAAATGAAAGAAATGGGATTGCAAAAGCAAAACACACTTCTTTAAATATTGAATTCTACAAGTTACTGTTATAAATACATCTATAATTTTGATACATGTGAATTTGAACCCAAAATTTATTTTACCAATGTTTTCTAAATGAACCAAGTGAAGTTTTGCTGAAGAAAAAAATAAATACTGAATTTAGCGTTTAGTATTCCTTCTGGTATATTAGGGAAAAGCTTTCTTTGGAGACCCTCATATAACGTCGTCCTTGGCAATTCTAAGGAACAACTAGCTGCTTTGAAACTCTCTAGTTACATGAATTTGGAAAGTGGTGACATATTATTTTAGAGAGGCACTTATAAAAATCAGGTTTCAAAACAGTCTGATGGAATTTTTATTAGTCTTTGTAATTCTTCTAGGCTTTGTAATTTCATGTAGGCTTCTGGGATAGTAAATCTGATGGCAGACAGTACCAATTAGTTAAGATTCAGAAATAATATTTCTCACATTTTTTATTTTGAGTCTAATTCTTTATTTTATTACTTATTTATTTATTCTTTTTTTTTTGGAGAGGTTTTGCTATAGGGCGCGTGCTCTCACCAGAAAGACAGAGAGAGACAGAGAGATAGAAAATGAGAAATCACCCCCCAGGGGGGATGACCACGCCACAATCCCTTCTCCTCCATTCTCCTCCTGGGATCTTGGGCACGCACGCACACTCGCCTGGCGTGAGTTTAAGCCGCCGGGTCCGGGACTTGAACCGTGGTCAACTATGTGGAAGTCCAGCAACATAGCCATTATGCTAACTGCTGGTCCCTTATTTATTTATTCTGAGAGAGATTTTTGCTGTAAGACGCATGCGCTCACTGGAGACACAGAGAGAGGCAGAGTGACAGAAAGTGAGCAATCACCACCCCCAGAGGGGATGGCCATTCAACAATCTCTTCTCTTTCATTTTCCACTCAGGATTTCTGGCACACATGTACATACACCCAGCATGAGTTTCAAGCTGCTGGGTCCAGGACTCAAACTGTGGTTAACCACATGGGAGTCAAGCACTATACCACCTGCTGGCCCCTTATTATTATTAATTAATTAATTAATTAATGCCAGAAGGCACATGTATACATGGTAGAGAAAGAGGGAGAGAGAGAAAGCACTTCCTAATGGTGTCTGGTCATGCCACAATCCTTTTTCCTCAAATTCTTCATCCTGTACATGTGTGTATGTCCAGTATGTTTTTCAAGTAACCAGGGCCAGAAATTGAATCCTGACTGGCCATGTGGGATTTGGCTCCTTTTGCCCATACTTATTCACTCTGCTACAGAGTTAGCCCTTAAGTTTAATATGTGTGCAAAACAACTCAGTAGTTTCTAGGCCTCATCTTTTGGTTTCCTTTTTCTTTTCTTTTTTCTTTTCTTTTCTTTTCTTTTCTTTTTTCTTTTCTTTTCTTTTCTTTTCTTTTTTCTCTTCTCTCCTCTCCTCTCCTCTCCTCTCCTCTCCTCTCCTCTCCTCTTTTCAGCTTGGGGATACCTGGGTTTGCACTAGCCATTCATCATGGCAGACTTGTAATTAAAACTATCACATGATGAACTGATTGAGCATAAAGGAAGTCTCCATAATATTACACATATTCTTCATCTGTTAGTTCATACAAAGGTATTTTGCAATCACATAACTGTGGTTATGTTTGTTCAATCTGTAGTTTGAACCTTTTCATTTGAATCCCCTTTTTCTATGACTGATTATTTGTCATTATAGGGGTTAATATAAGGTAAGGATTAGCTTAGTAATGATCTTTCCTTAATTACATCCTATATTTTATAATGGAGAAAAGTATAAATTGAAGCATATCACCCCCTCAGACTGAGGCAAAATGAACACATTGAGAAGAGAAATCTGAACAATTTGTTTTCAAGCTTTCAATTTGAAAGTACATCCATCTCCAAATCCAGGCCTTCTTCATATTAGAGATTTTAGTTTCATTAAAACAAAATTAAAGTTCTCTCTCACTGCCTTACATCTGCCTTGTTAAAAAAAAAAGTCCTCATGCTTGAGCTAGATATCAATGTATTTTTTCTTATTAATTAAATTAATTAATTAATTAGACCAGAGAGGGACAGAGTGAGAGCAAGAGCGAGAGCAAGAGAGAAAAAGTGAGAAAGCAACCCGCCAGGTCCTCAAACTGTGGTTGGCCATGTAGGAGTCCAACACCCTAAACCACCATGCCACCTGCAGGCCCCTCAATGTATTTTTTAATTAGTAATTTTTATTAACAAAAGTTTTCAAAATGCTCTACGTGTTTCTGTTCTCTAAGAGTTATCTTCACCCACCTTGAGTAAGAACTCAGTGAAGAAGTAACAGAAAAATCTCAATACACTTTCTCACCCCTTCACTTCTCTCCTTGCACAGCCTCCACCATGTTGCTTTTGGCTAAATCAACTGGTGAAATCTGCTGGAGATTCGGGTGTGGAATCTTGGACTAGCCACTGGTCATCTTCCTAGGTAACTTTTTTGAGCCTGAGTTTTTGTTGCTTTTACAGGAAAAAAAAAATCTCTAAGGACTAGACAAAAAAAGATAGATAAATGAAGGCTTTTCTTAGTTTCCAGTTCAAAATAAAAACCTGATATTTTCAGCACTCTCTGACTCAAGAAAACTGGCCAGAAGAGGGAGAACACCATGCTTCCCTCCACTCAGGAGGTCTTAATCCTGTTCCCAGAGGCATTGCCTCCAGAGTGAAACGTTGCTTAATGCCTGGGTGGCCAGGGAAGTCCCTCCGGAAAGATGAACCCAGGGCGAGGGAGTGGTCAGAGTGTGAGGGAAGGTGAGGCTTTGGTACTTATTTTTCCTTATACTCTCCGGTTGGCGGGGGCGGTGGAGGAGGGGCTCAACTGGGAGGTCAGGTTGGGAGGGCTGATGGAAACTATTTTTTGTTTTGTGTTATTTTTGAATGAGAGGAAAATATGTAACTGTGTTATTCTACACATTATCTTCTCTTTAGCCCTCCTTCTAGAATATACCATTTCCCTTTAACAGATATCACTAGCTCAAAAACGTATTTGTAATGAAGGTCTCTTGAGAGGATATGAAAAAACATGTAAAGTAGTTGGGAGAGACACATTTCTCCCCTTTTGTTAAATTCTGGTGGAGGCCTATACATGATGTTTTCATTGCCTGGATCGCCCACTATTGTCTAGTCTGTTCAATGACTTTTCAACCCTCCTCTGCAAAACCTTCTCTGAGAAGAACCGCCCTTTCCTCTCCAGGTTCTTATTTGCTTCCAGTGCATCAAGTAACACACCTGGGTAGAAAGAAACCTTTACTAAATATCATTCTATAAGAAATCCACAGGAAATTATTATCCATTCTGGGGCTTAAATGCTGTGGTAGTCAGGTCTACCTAGTTCACTTTTTTTTTTTTTTTTTTGTGAAGATACTAGTGGCGTTCTTGAACATAAGAGTTTTAGGAAGACAGCCACAAAAGGAGAATGACTGAGTCTACAAGTGAAAACCATTTAGAGTTGTCTAAAGACTTACCTTAAATCTTGATGCTGCATTTCCATTGAGATCTTAGCTACAGTCCTATTCTTATATATTTTCCCCTTGTACCGTAGGATCTGTAAACCTGAAAACTACATTTAAAAAAATTAATTAAATTTTCCAGAGGGTGCATGAGCTTACCAGAGACAGAGAGACAGATAGGGAGAAAGCTCTTTCCAATGGGGTATGATGATGCCACAGTCCTTTATTAATTTCTCATCCTGTTAAGATTCGAGGCATGAGTGCACACACCTCTGGCATGTTTTTTTAAGCATCAGGTACTGGAATTCAAACCAAGTTGATCATGTGAGATCCAGTTCCCTTAACCCCTAAAGTATGGGGCTGGCCCTAGAAATGACATTTTCCATCTAGTTTTCTGGTTTTGGTTCCATGAATGTAGGAGAGAGGCACTTCTTGAGATTTATCTATCTATTTATTTATTTAGAAAGAGAGGGGAGAGAGACCAACCTCCAACGGGGACCTCACTAAGCAGTCCTAGCTTGTCTGGATCATGGGCATGCCTATGTATACACCTGCTATGCTCAGGGAGGTTCTGGGACATGAACTCAGGACCTCTCCTATGTGGGTTCAGTTGCTTTACCACTTAGCCACCACCTGGCCCTGCCAAGAGATTAAAATAGAACAGAAGGCACAAGTTGTGACCAAGAACATAAGCTTTGGCAAAGGGAAGATATGAGGCTTTACCAGAGGTATTCTTCTGGAAATCACCTGCTTTGGTGCTACAGGAAGTTGAGATCATTGCCATAAGTTTCTTATGATCTCTGAATTCCATGATTGCCTGAAAGCTATAAAGCGCTTCCCTTTCATTCTCTTAGCCCTTACAGTGGTTTTGTGTAAGTACTCTAATTCTCTGTATTAAATGCCTTTTTTCTTGAAATACTTAGAGTGGTTTTTGTTTTTGTGACTAAACACTGACTAATACAATCTGTAAAACCAAGTAGGAAAGATTTTAAGAGTAGATTTTAAGAAAAGATTTTAAAGGTAGATTATTTTTTATGAGTGTTAATACTTATCAAGGCCCAGATGATTAAAACAAGGCCCATTTTTATCATTATGATATCCAAACTCTACATGTCCTATTTTGTTTGTTACATTCCTATCTTATTTCATACTCGTTATTTGTCTTTCATATTGGACTTTTTACTCTAACAATGTTGTAGTGTTTTGTACACAGTATGTCCACAATTCTTATTTGTTGAATTTTTAAAAAACATGACGTATGCAGGGCCAACAGGTGGTATGGTGGTTAAAGAGGCTGGATCCCACATGGCTGACTTCATGATTCAAGTTCCAACCCGGCAGCCTGAAAAATATGCCAGGTGCATGTGTGCGCATGCTCAAAATTCCAAGAGGAGAATGGAAGATAAGGGGTTATAGCTCCACCATCCCCCGAGGGGTTATTTTCTCAGTCTCTCTCTCTCTTTCTCTCTCTTTCTCTGGCAAGTGGACATACCCTATAGCAAATTAAACACAAACAAACAAACATGAAATATAATTATACCTTTGCTTGAAACACATTTTAGATATATTGTCTGGTAACTGAACAGCAAACAAAAGAGGCTACTACACTTGCAAAACATTTTGCAAAATGTCTGATGATTATATGTGCCAGGTAATAGTACATTCCTCAGAGTGAGTAATGTTGAATCATTGCCCATTCATTAACACCTGTGTTCATTCATCCAGTAAATATTTATTGATCACCTACTATGTTCAGTCAACCATATAAGCCCTTAGGAGATATCAGCGAATGAAACCTGAAGTACTCATCTATTCATCTCACTGGTTTGATTTGATCTTGGAATCTAGGACTAGATGCTCTTTTCCTTGTTCTTTTGTGTTTTGTGCCTCATGTGACTAGCCCAATGGTTCTTCTGGGATAACAAATGTCCTAATTGCAGATTCAAATGGAAAATGGATTCTCCACATCAGGAATAAGGTGTCTTGAACTTCATCTTGAAATGCTTAATATAAGGGTTTGAATCCTGGCCCTTGAGGCTTAAAAATCTCTGTCTTCCTTGGTACATGATGTGATAAATGTGTATGAGTAATACTTCTTCCTGCACAAAAATCCCAACTGTCTCCCCTTGATTAGTAATAGTTGCAGTTAAACATGGTTTCTCCATAAGCCTTGATGAGTTGCTGACCTTCTGGGATGGGTAATATTCACTAGTGCTCTCATTCAAGTTCCTTTTTGCCTATGGTTGACAATATTGCTATTGGGGCTGACCTAGTGGTTAGTGGTTAAGAGAGCCAGGTCCCACATGGCTGACTGTGGAATAGCTTGAAAAACATGCCAACAGGAGGGAGAAATGGAGAAGAGATTGCCTATGACCATGCCCGCTAAGGGATGCTTTCTTCCTCTCCCTTCCTCTTTGTCTCTCTCAGGCAAGCACAAGAGTCCTCTAGCAATTTTTTAAAAATATTGCTTCTATTACTTCTATTTAGATATTAAATAATCTGGAGTGGTTTCTTATTCTGTATATTGCTTTCTGCCAGGTTTCCTTGAAGAAGTCCTTATTATCTTTGTTTATACAACACCTTTGAATGGTTTCTGGGATAAGACTGACTCATTGCTTATGACTAAAGTTAGTACATTTTCTGTGAAAAGAACAACACTAGGGGCCAGCAGGTGGTAGAGAGGTTAAGGTGAAAACTCCCACATGACTGACTATAGTTCTAGCCCTGGACCTGGCAGTTTAAAATTTTCACCAGGCAGAGAATGGAAGAAAAGGGATTGTGTGTGGTCATCCACCCTTAGGTGTGATTTTTCACTTTCTCTCTCTCTAGCAAGTGCATATGCCCTATAGCAAAAATCTCTCTGTTAAAAAAAAAAAAGAATAAAAGAGAAAAGAATAATCCTGCAGTTAATCCTAATACATTATAAATATTCTAGAATATTATGTCATATAGTTGTGGGTAAATGATGGAAATGTATTGCCCTCATGTATAGGGTCGTGGGGAAGGAGAATTCACTCAAATGTCATTTAGGATAATTTTGCTTACATCCAGGAACAAAGAAGGGCGAAGCTTTCACTAATCTCCTGGTGGAGATTAGTGAATGGCCAGGGGAAAACTGAGGGACCATTAGTGGTTCTGGTTGATGAAGAGTCTAATACCCTAGAGATAACATGTTGGCCTGTATTTCCTTATTCAGACTTTATTTCTCACCATATACCAAAAAGGCTATACTCTGAGCAGCACTGAGAAGGGCAGGAATGGATATGGGAGAAGTGGTACCTGCCGCCACCACCAGAACAATGGGAATCTTAGCCACAGCACAGCCCATGTCCTTCCTAAAAGACATTGGGTGGGGAACCAGCAGATGGTGTAACGGTTATGTCGTTGGACTCCCACATAGTCAGTCGTGGACCTGGTGACTTAAACTCATGCCAGGCATGTGTGTGTGCATGCCTGAAATCCTGAGAGGAAATGAAAGAGAAGGGACTCTGGAGTGGCCATCCTCCCTGGGAGTGATTTCTCACTTTCTGTCTCTCTCTGTCTCTCCAGCAAGCGCATGTGCCCTATAGCAAAAATCTCTCTTAAAAAAAAAATAAAAAGACACTGGGTGACTGGAATCTGACTTTACTCAAAAGGACCTGTGATTGAAGTATAACATAGTCCAACTGAGTTCATTTACAAGTTCTAGGCCAATTGGTACAGTACTGAAAATTTTTTCCAAACATGAATACGGAAAACAGTAAGTCAGGCCAAGTGAATTTTACAGTTGGTATCGTTGGCTGTCTGTAGGCAGGATCAGAATAAGCTAGGTGGAAGAAAGGCCAAGTAATTGGGAATGGAATTGAGAGGAAAAAAGTGAGTCGAGTAGTGAGCTCAAATTGGTTGTCAAAACAATACAAGGAAATGGAATACTGGGAGCCCAAGGTAAACTCATATATTAGAATTATCTTAAATCAGCCAAAAAATTAGGAAAATCTCATTTTAATGTTGTTCCCACTCAGGCCTATGTAAACTGTTCCAAGCCTGAGGCATAGCTAGCTTGGGAGAAGTAGAAAGATGATAGTTATTGGATGCCCTCACTTTTCTTTTCTTTCTCTTTATTTCTTAGATCCCTTTCCTCTTTGTTTTCTTTTCTTTTTTTTTATTATATATTTTTTTATTTCTTTTTTTGTATATACATTCAATCGCATTGTTTAGCTTACAATGTGAGCATTTAACATACACCGAATGTCTGCACTCTATGTCAGAAACTGATTGACTAACGGTTGTACAAACACAAGAGATAGGTGTGACTGTCAGATGAGGTATATGTGGAGGAGTGGGGCCTAACGAAGGACATTTGGAGAAGGGATACGGAGGTAGAGCATTGACGGGATGGGGAAGTGTGGTGTTATCGGTTGGATGCTTTCACTTTTGTAGTCTCCTTCTACTTTAATCCGATCTACTAACATCCTGTGCGATATTTATTTAAATAGCGAAAGGCATGTAAACGCATTAGGTATAGAAAGGCAGGGCTGGAGATGCCCCAGCATTGGAAACAGGGTGGGTCAAATAGCAGGAGAGCACCCCTGGCCAGCACATTGCAGTTCTGTTGGCAAACCAAGTGGCCATCCTGAAAAGAAACCCTAAGCAAATATTTTTACAGTTAATGGGCAGTTACTGAGATTTCACATGACACCTCAATCTTGCGCTGCATTTCAATTTCCTTTCCACATTCAATATCCAGCCTTTTAAAATATACACTTGCAGAGTTAAATCTGTGTTAGCAAGTTTTTGAAAATCCAAGCAAATGGGTGGAAACATGCTTTGGCTTGATTCCGGCTGCGTATGTCTTCTTTTTCCCCTTGCTTCTTTTCCAGATTTTCCTGCCCTAGTTTAGAGAATATGTTGAGAGCAGGGAAGCAGGTGGGTGGGGCTCAGAAGTTGGAACAGAGAGGGGGGATTTACATATATATCTGGAGTGACTTTACTTATATTTTATTTATTATTATTTTAAGATCTACTATGGGACACATACAGTAATAGCTGGAGAGAGAAAGTAAGAAATCCCACCCCCCCTCCCCAGAACACAGCCACAACTCAACTCTTTCTTCTACCTTCTACCCTCTGTTCTCGGGATTTTGGGCATGTGTGCACATGTGACTGGTATGGTTTTTGTTTTTGTTTTTGTAGAGGTTTTTGCTATAGGGCACGTACACTCGCCAGAAAGAGAGAGACAGAGAGACAGAAAGGGAGAAATCACCTCCCAAGGGGGTTGGCTACACTGCAATCCCTTCTCCATTTTCCTCTCAGGATCCTGGGCATGCATACGCCCAGGATCCTGGGAGGAGAATGCTTCTGGTGTGAGTTTAAGTCACCAGGTCCTGGACTCAACTGTGGTCGACTACATGGGAGTCCAGTGACATAGCCATTATGCCAACTGCTGGTCCCATACTGGTATGGTTTTTAAGCCACTAGATCTGGGACTTGAACCATGCAGTCTGCTACATAGGGTCTAGCCACTTTAATCCCTTACCCACCTTGCCACTGGCTGGTTCATGGAGTACCTTTGAAAAACAAAAACAAAAAACAGAAACAAGCTCTCTTTTGTTATCATTGTTGTTACTGCTAGAGTTTACATATGATAGCTAGGAAGAGAGAAAGCACTCACCAGTGAGGTGTGGTCACTCCACAATTCTTTTTCTTCCATTTCTCCTTCCCTTCAGGATTTTGGATATGCATGCATCTGGCATGTTTTTCAAGCTGATGGGGGTGGGATTCAAACCATGGTCAGCCATATGGGATCCAGGTCTTTCGACCACTGTGCCATGGCGCTGGCCCTAGAGTAACATTTTTTAAGATGAAAATTCTCAGCCTCTTTTTACATGCTGTTGTACATATATTTACTTTAGTATCTTTTTCTATTATCTTTTTTCTACCAAATTACTTTCAGCAAGCCAGATTTGAGGGAATTATAACTAAAACATATAAATGAATAGGATAACAAAATTAGTAGTTAAATTAAAAAGCTATAAAGTTCCAACAAAGAAAATATAACAAACTATTAATCATATTCAGATCTTTATAGTAACCAAACCAAAACAACAACAAATATATAAGCATGTATTATTGAATGAGGTTTCACGATTTTATCCAACTCTATTTTAGAACACAGAAAAACATTTGTAATAATGCACAAAAATGTCTGTAGCATTTTAAGTGTCTTAACACTGGAGAAAATTTGGTAATAGCTTTATTCTGACTATATGAAAATATGTATTAAGCAAAAGCCATGATTACAAAGTTATATACTATTTGCAAACATGTCTAGGGACATTGAAAAGGAGCTGATACCATGGCTCCAGGCTAAAACCCTATGTGTGACCTTTCAGACCTGACCAGAAGCAATTGCAAAGGTTTCACGGAGGAAGCTATCTTCCCTACTTCAGACTTGGGGTACGGTCTGGAGGGAGCTGCAGTTGAGGACTCAGTGCCCCACAAGCCAGCCATGCCCTTATGCATACCTACATTCCTAGTCCAAAAGCTCTCATCAAGACACATTTCTCCATTCTGACTCAGTATTCAGAAATTTTCCATTTCTTGTCCCCCGCTGTGGTATCCTTCCAGTGAGACAGTCCCCTCATGGTCTCCCAATCCGATCAGATACATCTGGCCCTCCCCTGGCACCGTTCTGTGTGGAAAACGAAACACTGAGGAAACTGCTGCTTTTTCTTCTTTGGTTTCTGGTTTATACTATGGCAATAAGTGGACACAAGCTTAACTGTCGCTTTTAATTTGCCTTGTCTTAACTGACCACCTTAACACCTGCCAGCTTAGCTCTCTCCAAGTCAGCTTCTGCAGTAATTATGTATCACACTTTGGAAAAGAGACACTATTTACAGACCCTACTTGGGTGAATGGATATTTATCCACAACTGTTTGGCAGCTTCATTCCTGGATGCATGACAGAGTATGTCTGGTCTGTTTTCTGCCACTGTTACAGAATACCATGGACTGGGTACTTTATAATAAACTGGAATGTGTATGGTTTGTGGTTCTAGGGTCTGAGAATCCCAAGATCAAGGGGGTGTATGTGGTGAGGGCTTGTGGCATTATAATGAACTGGAAAGCATCACATCACGGTGAGAGAGTAAGTGAGATGGAGAGGAAGGAGCCCACTCCCTTGATGTAAGAACTACTCCATTCATAAGGGCAGCATTTTGGGGAACACATTCAAACCTATCACTCAACATTGCTAGGATGTGGGAGTGATGGGGAGAGGTTGTGAGGGGTTGCTGTGGTTCAAATATGTATTCCTTCCAACTTGTTGTTGAAACGTTGTTGAATACCCTTTGCGGTGGTATTAAAGAGGTAGGGCCTAGGAATGTGATTTATAAGTCATGGGTTGGTGCCTTCTAATGGAGCTCGAGGGAACTAGTGTAGGTCCTCTCTTTTGCCCATTCCTCCCTTCTAGAAGATGCAGCAATAAGACGCCATCTTGGAGGGAGAGGTTAGGCCCTCACCAGACACTAATACTTAATCTTTTTTTTGGAGAGGTTTTTGCTATAGGGCGCGTGCGCTTGCCAGATAGACAGAGAGAGACAGAGAGACAGAAAACGAGAATCCCCCCCCCAGTGGGGATGGTCATGCCACAATCCCTTCTCCTCCATTCTCCTCTTGGGATCTTGGGCACACACGCACACACGCCCGCCTGAGTTTTAAACCACCGGGTCTGGGACGACTACATGGGAATCGAGCGACATAGCCATTACGCTAACTGCTGGTCCCAGTCTTAAACTTACGGATTCTGGAACTGTGAGAAATAAATTTCTGTTCTTTATAAATTAGTCACTGGTATTTTGTTACAGCAGCACAGATGAACTAAGACAGGGGCACATGGTATGCCTCTCAGTGCCTTTAGGAATGACTGCTGGTCCTAGATCATCCAGTGGGAGTGTTATGCCTCGGGTGGAAATTTGGTTTTTCTCTAGTATGAGGAGAAGAGTAATCTGGCGTGGGAATTATAAAACTTTATGCGTATTTCCCAGAGCATTTTCAGGTTAACTTCCAGATTCTTGGTAAATGCACCCTTTTCTCTATGTACAGACATAGGGAAATACTTGTTCTATTATTTATTAAGTTTAAATTATGTGCCTCCATCTAATATTTATATGTTAAGGTTCTCACCCCCATTGTGACTGCATTTGGAGATGGAAACTTTAGGAAGGTAATTAAGGTTAAACGATGCCATAAGGGTGGCGTCCTAATCCTGTAGCACCGGAGTTCTCTCTATTTCCATGTACACACAGAGGAAGGTTCATGTGAGGATACCGAAAGGATATGGCTTTCTCTAAGCCAGAAAGAGAGAGCTCGCCACAAATTGACCCTGCTGGCACCTTCATTTGGATTTACAGCCTCTAGAACAGTGAGAAAATATATTTCTGTTGTTTAAGCCACCCAGTCTATGGTATTCTGCTATGGCAGCCTGAGCAGACCAATTCAGTGAAGAAAATCTGTTTCATTATGGAAACAGGAAGAAAAGAAAGAGTCTGGCATGATATGGAGCAATTGGTGGAGTGTAAGAAAAGAATATCCATTTGACTTGGCTTTGGAAAAGGCTCCTTCAATTAGCACAGGTTTATTGACACAGGATTATGTTTTGCTCTTTGTGGGTCTAGTCATACCATTTGATCTGCTGAGAAGAGCATTTCCTGAGTCATCATATTTTAAATATTCGAGCCAACCCTCTATCCTAGTGGTTGATGGAGCTAGGTACCACATGGCCAACCAAGGTTCAAATCCCAGGCAGCTTGAAAAATACGCCGGGCTCATGTATGTGCATAACCCAAATCCTGATGAGATGGAAAAATGGAAGAAAAGAGATAGTGAGGTGACCAGGCCCCATTGATAGGTGCTTTCTCACTCCCCCCACCTCTGTCTCTGTCTTTATCTGATGAGTAAATATGACCTCTGGAAAGTAAGAAAAAGTTTAAACCATTTTAAAAAATTATGCTGGGCCCAGCAGATGGCATAGCGATTATATCGCTTAACTCCCACATGGCTATCCACAGTTCGAGTCCCAGAACCAGTGGCTTGAAACTCATGCTAGGCATGTAAGATCCCAGGAGGAAAATGGAGAAGAAGGGATTACAGTGTAGCCATCCCCCTTTGGGGGGTGATTTCTCACTTTCCCTGTCATTGTCTCTCTCTCTCTCTCTGGCAAGCCCATGTGCTCTAAGACAAAAACAAACAAACAAACAAAAAAACAAACAAAAACCTCATTAAAAAGTATGCCAAAGGGCACATGTGAGAAACAGAGCTATAATGCAAGAGAGAGAAAACACTTCACAATGGGGTCTGGTCACACTGCAATCCTTTTCCCTTCAGTTCTCGATCCTGTCAGGATCCTCGGAATGCTTATGTTTCTAGTATGTAAGCTGCTAGGGTCAGGACTCAAACCCTCGTCAGCCACGTAGGATCTGGTTTCCTCTGGGCAAAATTTAACTGCTGTGATGCAGGGCAGGCCCATCATATTTTTTTTTTTTTTTGGAGAGAGTTTTCACTGTAGGGCGCGTGCGCTCGCCCGACAGACAGAGAGAGACAGAAAGTGAGAAATCACCCCCCAGGGGGGATGGTCACGCCGCAATCCCTTCTCCTCCATTCTCCTCTCGGGATCTTGGGCATGCACGCACGCACACGCGCCCGGCGTGAGTTTTAAGCCACCGGGTCCGGGACACGAACCACGGTCGACTACGTGGGAGTCCAGCGACATAGCCATTACGCTAACTGCTGGTTCCCAGGCCCATCATATTTTAAATGTTAGTACATTTTAAAATTTTTATAATTAAGCCTTCAGACAAAGTTTAAGCCATATAATTAAATAATTGCATGTATAATCCAATTATAAAAAATTGGATATATATGTAAATCTACATAAAATAAAAATATTTCAAATTTTAATAGTGTGAAAATGAAAGGTAAAGCTGATAAGCTAGAAGATGGTGGAGAAGGAGAGAGTTGGAGTGAAATGCAGGGAACTAATAATTCCTCATTTTCTACATTGTAAAGTTGAGAAATACTATCTGAAGTAGATAGATTAAAAAATAAAAGATGTAGTTTTTCTCTTTTTAAAAAAAATTGGGGGGGCCAGCAGGTAGTATAGTGGTTGAGGTACTGGACTCCCATATGGATGACCACGGTTTGAGTCCTGGACTTGGTGGCTTGAAACTCAATGCTGGGAATGTGTGCGTGTGTGTGCTCAAAATCCTGAGAGGAGGAGAAGGGATAGTGGAGTGGCCATTCCCCCTGGAGGGGTTGATTTCTCACTTTCTCTCTGTCTTTTTGGTGAACACATGCACCCTGTAATAAAAATAGCTCTTAAAAAAGAAAGAAAGAAAGAAAGAAATTGCCAAAGGGGGTGTGCACTTGCCAGAGAAAGACAGAAGAGAGAGAGAGAGAGAGAGAGAGGGAGAGAGAGAGAGAGAAAGTGAGAAAGCATCTCCCATGGGGAATGGTCCACCCAAAATCGCTTCTCCTGTGTTTCTTTCTTTTGGGATTTTAGGCATGCACACACACACACACCTGGCATGTTTCTCAAGCTGTTGGATCCTAGGTTCAAACCATACAGTCAGCTATATGGGTTCTAACTCACCACACCCAATAAAGTTCTTTAAAGTAACAAAGATTACCAGTAATAGAATAAAAAATAAAAAATGCTAACAAGTTCTTGGAGGAGAAATAGCTAGTGAGTTAGAGCTCTCATTATTTATAAAGTAGGACCAACAGACATCCCTGAGGCTGACATACGAAGAAATAGAAGTACAAATGGTTTTCAAATGGAGGACTAACCCCGTGGCCTAGTGGTTAAGGGAGCTAGATTACCAACAGCTCAATTTCAGTCCTGGTCCCAGACACTTGAAAACATGCTGCTCACAATCCCAACAGGATGTAGAAATGCCTGGGGTGGGGGTGCTTTCTCCCTCTCTCTGTCTCTTTATTGCTCTTCAGCAAGCACAGGTGTACCCTAGCAATGAAAAAAAAAGAAAGACAATTACAGAATCACAGAAAGTTAATGAAAAATGTGTATCATGAAAAAACTATACATGGATTTCAAAGGGTTTTTTTTTTTTGCATCAACATAAACTTGTAATTTATCCCATTTTTCATGAATATTTAGAAGTCTTCTCATCTAAGTATACTGTTTTGAAATAAAATTCCAAACATTCTAAGCAAGTGGTGTAGGAGCCTCTGAAAAGAACCAATCAATGGACCTTCTCTTCTCCATCCAGTTTCTAAACAGATCGAAGAATCAGGCAAGGAGTAAGGCTGATGGAAGATTCAAATGTTATTTGCTACTTCATTATTAATAGAGGCTAAGTTGCAGTACATGGCTTTCTGTGAGAGCTAAAGAGCATGCTTAATGTACTTCAGGAAGAGACCCAACACAGAAAAGTGTTGGACCTGGGCAGGCCTTCCCCCATTTCTGGAATAGCCCATACCTAGAAAAGCAGCAGAGAAGCAGAGAACGCTGTCTCCACTGGGACATCAGCTCCCAGGAGAAAGAAAGGAGCTGAGCCAGGCATGTGTGGTTTATTGCTATTTAATTCACCACTCAGATTAAGCCTTTTCTCTCTCTTTTTGCTCTTTCTTTTTCTTTTTTTTTTTTAAAAAATTTGTTTTTCTTCCACAGCAGAGTGGAGAGAGGCTAGGAATATCCTATCCAGAGGCTTAAAGAAACATCAAGGTCAGAGATTTCCCCTTAACAATTGCCTCTAGGAAGTTAAACATGCCTTGGATGTGGGGTGGATAGGGGAAGAATTTACTTTTCATTTTATACCTCCTTTGTCTTGTTGCACCGGAGTGACATAATACTATTAAAAGAATTTTGGCAGAATGTGAATAGAAGGTAAGGGTAAATGAGGGTTTACTTTGTCCTATTTTGTTATTATTTTGTTCCTTTTTCATCTCTCCTGGAGATTTAGGTTGGGCTAACCACAAAGAGAAGATGATGAAAAGATTAAATAGAATGGAATAAATACTAGCTCAATACTATAAGTCAGTTTTCCTGAATATTTATCATCAAGACACATTGTCTCTAACCTCAACCCACTTCCAGAGATACCTTCATTTTGCCCACTAAGATGTAAGCCTGAGATGACAGCTACCTTGTCCTAATTCTCAATATTGTTGTTCTATTTATCTGTGGGAATATAGCCTCCCTTCTCTTCCTTCTTCTTTAAATGATAGTGAGTACATGCATGAGGGAGAGACAGAGAGACGGAAGCACCCTCACAGGATCTCATTATACTATGATACCCTTTCCCCAACCCTCAACCTCTTTAGGATGTGGGCACATGTGTGCCTGCCTGGCATGTGTGCAGGTCAATCCATGGTCAGCCATGTGGCTTCCAGCACTGTGGTCCAGTACATTACAAACTGAGTGACCTAGGAGGGTCATATGTGAATGAATTTTAACAATGGGAAGAATCTGGGGAGGACCCCCAGGTCTTCTGAACAGACTAATGTGAACTACTCTAACAACCTTTGTTTGACCCTTATACATCACTCTTTATTCCATTTATTTCTCCCACTCCATTGTACTAAGGAAAGGTTTATTTAACGCACAGAACTAAATATCCCTTCTTCCCCTTTTTTTCCGGGTGATCAAAGTGATCAAGAACTTGGCATTCACAGTGTCTTCATCAGGGTGGTGGTTACATAGGTAATATACATGTGTGAAAATTTACTAGGTTGCATACTTAGGATGAATACTTTTCATTTATTCAATTTATGATATATGTTATACAGCAATAAATTTGGAACAAAACAAAACAACAAAACTAGCTTTAGGCAGTTTATATCTCTGCCAGAGATTGGTACAAGAGCAAATATTATGCTCCCGCTAGACTTTTAATCTGGCAACCCCTTGTAGCTAGGGCGTTGGAACCCACTACAATCTGTCAGTTTTTCTGCATTTTTCAAATATTTATTTTCCTCTAGGCTTACTAAATGCTTTCAGTGCACAAATTTTTTCTTTACTAGATCTGTCTAATTACAATACAAACTTTAAAATCCATACACACAGTCACGCACGATTGTTACATGTTGCTGCATTAAAACTCCTGCTTCTGCATGACAAAACACCACAGTAAGATAAAAATACAGATGAAATAATAAAAAAAGAAATAAAAATGGGGAAAATATTCATAACTGAAATCACAGGCCTTTTACCTATGAGAGTCCTAGTCAGTTTATAAAGGACCAAGCACCCCATAGAAAAATGAGCAGAGAATATGAACAATCAATTTCATCAACTGTAATGTCCCTCCCACAGGAACTCTTGTCAACTTCAGTTACAATCAGAGAAACAAAATGGAAACTACACTGAGATACTATTCTTCAAGCTGTCAGACTTAATAAAATCCAAAGGTTCGACAGCACATGGAGATGAACTCTGCCATCCATTGCTTGGGAGGGTAGCTTCTACAGCCTTCATAGAGGACAGTTTAACAGTAACTGTCACAGTTATGAATAAATATGCCCTTGGCGCTAGTAGTTTGATTCTTAAGAATTTATATGTAAGATACATTTTAGACAGGCAATTAAATAAAAGGAGGAGGAGGGACAAAAAATATATGTAGGCAGACATTTCACTTTTTTTTTCTTAATACTTGAACCTTATAAACACAATAGCTATTCAAAACAAAAAAGAGAAATGAATCAAAACTACCCTGATAATTATAACCCTTCTTTGTGGCCCATAATGGATAAAATAGGTGCAGACTTAGCTCATTACCAGGAAAAAAAAATCCTTCCTCAGAGTTAATTATAAACACACTCAACATTTAGAAATGGATGGAAGGATGAAAAATATTTATCTTTTCTCTTGGGTTGCTTTTTTTTCTTTTTTAAAAAATTTGCCAGAAGTCGTGTGTACTCACCAGAGAGAGGAAAAGTGAGAAAGTACCCCCTATGGGGCAGGTCACTTTCCTTCATCTTTCCTCATTTCAAGAGTTTAGACATGTGCACACATGCCAGCATGTTTCTCAAGCTGCTGGGTCTGGGACTGAAATTGTGCAGTGAGCCATGTGGGATCCAGCTGTCCTAACCACCATTCCATGGGTCAGTGTTTGGGTAGTTTTTCACTTAGGATGCTGTAGAATGTCTCCCTTAGTTTCCTTTCTTGCTTTTATTCCCTTTTACTTCTATGACCCTTGTCCCATCTCCTGATGATGGTACCCTGTTTAATCTGGATCTTCCCTCTCCATGGGGGGGGGGTAGAGGGAAGCTTTTTTCTTTCTTGTACTAAGTATTTCTTCCAGAGTGACTTTCTTATACTAAGAATTTCTTTAAAACTTATTTTTTAAAACATCCCTTCTCTGACGTGAGGGTAGGAAAGGATAGGAAGAGACGGCAACCCCTACAGGGACTAAAGCTCCACACAGCCTCCATAACCACATATTCTTGCTCTCCTGTCTGGCCCATCTTCCAGAGCGCCTACTCCAGTATGCACATAAATCCAGTCCTCAATCTATAATAGATTAAAAAATGTAGACATCTTTAAAAACTATGAAAAATTTATCAATAGATCTTATAAATTTTATTCCCAAATATTTCCTGAATTCTCCACTTCTTTTCAGCCCTGCTGTCAACACTTTAACCCAGATAATCACTATCTCTATATCATCTATTGCAATACTACCTCCATCTTATCTCTTCATGCTCCTAATTCTCTTCCACGTTCTTCAGTTGTTTTTGTTTTGTTTTATTGTGAAATATTGGGTTGTCGAAAAAGCATTTTGGCATAGAAAAATAAGTCATGACTTTTCCAACAATCCAATATAATGCTCCCACAGAGATATGCATGGCCTTGATGCCTTCCTGGACGGCCTTGATGCCTTCCTGGATCACCTGTACCAGGGGCACACCTGTCCCCAGGTACAGTGAACAATGGCTACTGATGAGTGATAGCTGCCCTCTTCTCTGGAGAATTTCTGTCTGCCGCATCCAGCTGCCTCACCTGGATGGCCAATGTTGCCTGAACATTTTGACCTCATTTGTACAGACCTAGGCCCATGACTGGAACAGGAAACAAAAGGATTCCCCTTTAGCCTCAAAGGAGATTTACTCTGTGGTACAATTTGAGCTCCAGAATTCCCCACAGGATCAGAATCTGGTCTCCGAAGATGACATCCTTGGTTAGCTTTTACCCTACTCCACCTTGTTTTCCCTCATCTTCTCTTCCTCAACTCAGAGCACCTCCTTAGTAAATTACTTGAATAGAAATCTTTGACTCAGGATTGCTTCTAAGAAAACCCACCCAAGATTATGCAAAAAATACAATCCTCTAGGGACCAGCAGATGGCATAATGGTTTTGTCGTTGGACTCATGTAGTCGACTGGTATTCGAGTTTCAGACCCAGCAGCTTGAAACTCATGCTGGGTGTGTGTGCCTGAAGCCCCCAAATCATGAGAGGAGAATGGAGGAGAAGGAATTGTGGCGTGGCCATCCCTCCTGAGGGTGATTTTGCGCTTTCTGTCTCTCTGTCTCTCTTTGTCTCTCTGGCAAGTGCATGAGCTCTATAGCAGAAATCTCTCAAAAAAATTCCTCTAGTTTGTGCATGCAAGCAAACCAGAGAAACACCCTTCATGGTGTTCAATCATGTTGCAAAACCCCTCTCCTAGTCCTACAGCCCGCCAGGATCCTGGGCATGCATGCATGTTTTCAGTTCCACTGAGTTGGTGACTTCAACCATGGTTAACATGTGGCTTCAAACTCCATAGTCCTGTACATTACCAGTTGTGCCACAGAGGTTGGGCTACTTATCACATTATTATAAAGTAGTCATTGTTAAGAAAAAAATGTATTCAGGGGTTGGCCAGATATCACAATGGCTAGGCACTGTGTAGAGGAAGTCAGAACCCATGGGCTGACGGGGGTTTGAGTCCTGGTTCTGCAGGTTAGAAAAACACACTGAGTGTGGGCACATGCATACACAGGGTACTGACAGGATGGAAAATTGG